CCCTACCCTCACCCTACCCTCACTCACCCTGAACTTCTTGCTGCGGTGGAACTGATAGTTGCAGAGCTCGCAGGCTGGCACCTGACGTGAGCGACTGCTGCTCACCTCCAGCCACTTCTGCTCACACACGACGCAGTTAATTGGTATGTTAAGGTATGCGGGGTAAACATAATAACAAAATTGACGCAGTTAATTGGTATGTTAAGGTATGCAGGGTAAACATAATAACAAAATTGACGCAGTTAATTGATATGTTAGGGTAAGCAGGGTAAACATTATAACAAAATTTAGATACCTACGCTGCTATGGGTAAAACGCTGCCGTTTTACCATTTTGAACATCAAATAAGATTCCAGAAAATATAATTACGACTACTTTACTCCGAATGCTAGTCCGATCAATCCCTACCGTACTCCTAATACACAGAAAGACAAAATAACGCAATTGATATGTTAAGGTAAGCGGGGTAAACATCCTAACAAAATTTAGAGTCGCCCCAGCAGCTGGTACTCCAAATCAGAAGCTGACGCGCCTGTAAATTTTAACTGGGTAGGTACATGAATGTGTAGAGTGCAAACAGGTATATGAACATGGGCACGGTAAACAGGTGTGTGAACGTGGGCACGGTAAACAGGTATGTGAACGTGGGCACGGTAAACAGGTATGTGAACGTGGGCACGGTAAACAGATATGTGAACGTGGGCACGGTAAACAGGTATGTGAACGTGGGCACGGTAAACAGGTGTGTGAACGTGGACACGGTAAACAGGTGTGTGAACGTGGACACGGTAAACAGGTGTGTGAACGTGAGCACGGCAAACAGGTATGTGAACGTGGGCACGGTAAACAGGTGTGTGAACGTGGGCAGGGTAAACAGGTGTGTGAACGTGGGCACGGTAAACAGGTATGTGAACGTGGGCACGGTAAACAGATATGTGAACGTATGCAGGGTAAACAGGTACATGAATGTTTAGAGTGCAAACAGATACGTTAACGTGGGCACGGCAAATAGGTACGTGAACTGCGGTGACAATGTCAACAACATAGAAAACATCACTAATGTTACTTGTAAATCCACATCTAACAATACAGCGTATTACTGTATCCCTTCATCACCAGAAAGCAAGGTCTAGACACCTCTAACTACCACTAGTACTATCAACTCCTGTTGATACAAGAAAGTTGACGTTTACTATGAACATCATTAGCTATTTACACGAATGTATAAACGCCTTTAGCAGACAGTAGCATAAAAAATATAACTCAGTACCCACTGCAGTGAGTGACAGAGANTATCGACACCTACAACTACACTAGAAGAAGTTAGTGTGTTGCATGAATTCACGAATGGGTCGAGGCAATGAAAATTTTATTACACGATTTTCACGCTAACTTTTGAGAAGTTTTCTGCTAACTTCTTTTTTTATCTGCTAACTGCTTTTTACCTTCTGATTTTTTTGAGAATTTTTTTCGCTAACCTCTGAGAACTTTTCACGCTAGGTATCCTATCAGAGTTTCTAAAAGTTAAGTAATAAAGCTCTGTTTACAGTATGTGAAGCGTGCACCGAAATTAATGCACTCCATGGTGCCACTCACCATGAGGCAGCCGTGGTGGATGTACTCCATGGTGCCACTCACCATGAGACAGCCGTGGTGGATGTACTCCATGGTGCCACACACCATGAGACAGCCGTGATGGATGTACTCCATGGGGCCACTCACCATGAGACAGCCGTGGTGGATGTACTCCATGGTGCCACTCACCATAAGGCAGCCGTGGTGGATGTACTCCATGGTGCCACTCACCATGAGGCAGCCGTGGTGGATGTACTCCATGGTGCCGGCACACCGGCAGGGGGAGATGAGAGCCTCGCTACCCTCGCTCTCTGGCAGATGACAGATGCGGCAGAAGGGCAGAGACGCCGTCGAGGACGAGCTTGACAGAAAGCCTGTAATGACAGAAAGCCTGTAATGACAGAAAGCCTGTAATGACAGAAAGCCTGTAATGACAGAAAGCCTGTAATGACAGAAAGCCTGTAATGACAGAAAGCCTNAGAAGTTTCATTCAATGTTCATACAAGATTTTGTACAAAAGCATCTCGTCAACCCCACATTTTACGTAGTATTGACGGTAAATATTCAAACAATTCTAAGCTTCGCTTTACGATCCTGGTCAACTAAAAAAATTATGGTACCCATACGTGTATTTCGATTTATAATGTTTAAGTCAGCATTCTTCCTAACTTCTTGTGCTACACTGTGGAGTAATCGTAATGTTTAAAATCTTTCGACTACAAAAAAAATAATAATAATAGAAGTTAATATAATTTAAAATCATTCAACTTTTTTTAATCTAATGTATATTTTACAATATTTACATCCATAGGTTTTTAAATCAACTCATAAAATAATTTTCGAACAAGACTTGCTTTGCATGAAACTTGTATAGAAATGATCGTAGTTTCTTGGATGTAGAGGCCCCTGCTTTGATACATAAATAAGATTTGCGAGTGAGTTAATAAACAAAAGTTTGAGATGGAACGATTTTTCCTACTCAACGTCCAACCTTGTTTCAACGATAAAATAAATAAATAATATTAAATTAATTAATAACGAATAAATGACAAAAATAAAAAAAATCATTTTAAACTAATCAATTAAATTGTTTGATTAAAAAGTAAGTCATTAGTATTTAATTACGTATAATATTGACGCAATAATATCAACTTACTGGATTTCGGGAAGGAAGGAATCTTCGGCAGCGCCTGAGAGAACACATCCAGCGGACGCCTCGGCGCTAAGTATCTGAAATACGAATACAAATTAACGAGGGAAACGAAAAAACACAAATTGAAAACAAAAATTACAGAGGGTAACGAAAAAACACGAATTGAAAACAAAAATTACAGAGGGAAACAAAAAAACATAAATTGAAAACAAAAATTACAGAGGGAACTAAGTCAAAGCGCGACTGCTCGCAGAAAATTGGCCTGATAAATGCACAAAGAAATAATAAGAATGGAAAAACTAATAGAATCTGAAAACAAACATAGAAAATTGTACCTTCAAAAAAGGCAAACATTTGAAAAAAACATACACTTGAATTATGCCTAACATTTTCACTAACAAAACCGCAGTAATATTTTCACGCTAATTACGAAGCAAAAAAATCGTGATTTGCATTCACAGGTTATGATCAGCATGGAGGTTATGATCAGCATGGGTTGACATGGACTCACCTGTTATCAGGACTGTTATCCTCTTCACCCTCATCACCCTCTATCCTGAAGGTAGCTTTAACACCCTCGTCACCCTCGTCAGTAGCAGCGTCTGGGGAGAGCTTGGCTTGGTCTTCGTCCACATTTATGATGATATTCGCTGCGTCGTCAGTACGATGATGATCATTTGTGATGTCATCACGCGGGTCATGAGGTGACGTGGTGTGAGAACTCGACGATGCGGTGTCATGGCTCAGGGATGTATTCCTACATGATGGAGAGTCGTAGAACGTAGATGTAGAATCCGGACAAACTGATGAATTTATACTAGAAGATTTATTTATACAAGTTCTTGGATCCCGGTAAGACGATTCCAAAGAAGAATTATTTTTACACGAAGACGAATCTTCACAAGAAGATTCATGGCCCGAGAATGTGGCTTGACAACAAGATGTGTTCTGCCCGAAGGACGCGCTCGTATTGGTATGGAAGTTTGGGAAAGTGTCCCTACAGGATAATGTGTCCCCGTTACAAGACGTGTCGACGTTACAAGACGTGTCGACGTTACAAGACGTGTCGACGTTGTAAGATGTGCCCCCGTTACAAGACGTGTCGACGGTACAGGACGTGTCACGCCACGCGGTCTTGGGACGACAAGCGCACGAGGAGTTCGTCCCCAGCGGCGACGCTCCTGAGGTGCTGGCTTCCTCCAAGAAGGGGGAGACGGACGAGGAAAATTGAGAAGTTTTTCTGCAGGGGGAAGAGAAGGTGTCTTTGTTGGGGGATGTGTTGCTCCTGTTGGGGAAGGATAAACCCGACGAAGGGTACCTGAAGACCCCATGACTCGATCGTATCCTCACTGAGGACTGGGGACTTGTATTGACGCTTGAGTCACCGCACGCGCCAGAGTTGGACGGGTTCATGATGTCGTCGCCCGCGTCACTTTCGCACCCGCTGTCCATACTCGTCTGAGGCTTGGGGCTCTTGCCCCCCGGCACCTGCAGGCTGCTTGCTTTAGGGATCTGGGCTGGGGATGATGGAGGGGAATTGGTAAGGGCTGGGGAAAGCAGTCCACCCAAAAGAGGAGCTTCTTCGTAGTTAGGCTCCGCCATCACTGAATGAATAAGAAATGGCCAAGTTCTAGAAAGATATTGACGAAAATTCTCAGCCTAAATCAATTTTTCAGTCAAAATATACTTTTGCATGACGCAATAAAGAAAATAAATCTATACGGGCAAAACCTTGATTTGCGCCATATAGCCATCAGAGGACTAGCAATCGAGAGCACAGCGGATCGTGTATACGAGTTGCCAACTTAATAGAATTTCGGGGATTTAGATCACATGAAATGATTCCTTTCTCATTTAAATTAGTGTCATTTAATGCTGATCGACTAGATTTAAAACTTTGGAAATAGTCAACGATATTTCAATAAATTTACGGCCGTATTTTAGCCCTTCGATGACTCTTTGTTGCCTTGACAATGCAAAATGAGATGAAAAATACGATAACTATGATCAAAATAAGATAAGAAGAATTGGCACGAGGTAACAGCCTGACCACAGCGAAGGCATGACCTAATAACGACATTCATTCATTTGTTAATTCATTCACAAACAGTAAAAACCAAACCCGATAAATTACTATATATCGTAAGAGCTAGTCAGGGAATAACAGCACCGTATTCTGGGGTGGCGTTAGGATACTGAATTCATCCTGGAACAACGAGATCGTATCATGACACTTCAGTAAAACTACAAGCAGGTAATTGGGTATCAATTCAAGTCATTAATTGAATCGTAATAACTAATTCCAAATCGGCGCATACTAATAAGTAATAAAATATGCATTTAAAAATTACTTTTTAAAGACAACACTTCCGAAGAATCCAGTATCTTGGATATTACATGTGTAAAATGAATTTCTAATTTTATTTTCAAATGTTAAAAAAATTGTTTTTCAAAATTTTTTTAGGATAGGCCTATCAAAATTTTGTAAATTTTCAAAATTATTTAGGTATTCTGTCAACTGTTTCATGCATTGTCTCGGACTTTATGCAATTGTGCAAAATTTCAGATCGATTGGACAGGTCAAATAGTGTCATATATGGATAATAAGATATGTAGCAGACGAAATTATTTTAAATTTGTTTAATTCATAAAATTATTTATTCAATCAATTGATTCATTCATTGTCTCCAACTTTACGCAAGTGTGCAAATTTTTAGATCGATTGGAGAGGTAGAAGTGTGTTAAATATCGATTATGGGATTTGTAGCAGACAGACAGACAAACAAGAAGTGAAGTTAAAGAGAAGTGTTGTAAAAATCCGGTACAATTACTCATAGGCAGGACAAGACGCAATTCCGGCGAAATTTATAGATTAAATATAATGAAATAATTACCATAGATTAAGTTTGCATTTGTGTGCCTCAACTCGAGCTTACTAAACTAGTTGACATCTGATTGCTGCTATAAATGTGTTGTTAAGTAGTGGGATGCTAGTTATTATTCATGAATGTTAAAAAATCAGGTCAAAGGGGACGCGAAATATTAAAATAACGTAAATAATATACGTTTAAAAATTACTTTTTAAAGATAACACTTCCAAAGAATCCAGTGTCTCCAATCTTAAAGATGTATCATGAATTTCTCATTTAAATTAGTGTCATTTAATGCTGATCGACTAGATTTAAAACTTTGGAAATAGTCAACGATATTTCAATTAATTTACGGCCGTATTTAAGTACTTACGTTCACTTAATCATAGACAAGAAAATAGAGCGTAAGTACTTACGTTCACTTAGCGAGTTTTGAAAGTATGGCCCCTGGATGTTACTATAAGTGTGTAGTTAAGTAGTGGGATGCTGGTTATTATTCATGAATGTTAACAAAATCGCGCCAACGGGGACGCGAAATATTACAATATCGTAAAAAATAATTAGCAATTGTCAGCAGTATGGAGAGCTACACAAATAATTATACCTATGCCCGTGCTATGGCGTTATCAAGTGAAGCGACGCAAACATTATTAAGGTTATATATTTGAGCAACGATAAGCATTGTTTCAATGCAATGCAGTGTAGAAATAAAGACATTGTTTTAATGCTATATTGAGCAGCGATAAGCATTGTTTTAATGTTATATTGAGCAGTGATAAGCATTGTTTTAATGCAATGCAGAGTAAAAATAAAAACATTGTATTTAGGTATGTTATATTGAGCAGTGATAAATCATTCACGCTTATCGGCACAAAGCCAGCAGATTTAAGATAACGCTGACCGAGCAACACGTACCGAACGTGGTTTCGATTTGAATCTATTAAGCAAATGCAGTTTTTAATTGCAGGGCCTTACCCAAGTCATCTTTCTTAAACAACTGCGAAACTTTCAGAAGAACTTTCTGCGTTAAACCTTTGAGATTAATTTTATAACACAAATATCGTCAAATTCCGTAAATTGTCATGAAATAATTAAAGAAAATATAAATATAATAACACCAAAATTAGAAATATTTCATTCAAAAGGGAATGTGTATAAACCCGTCACGCACGGTCGCAGCACGTATTATACTAACGTCTTTATCAGCGAGGCTTGACCACGCGTATCAGTGTGATGCTATCTCAGCTCGCATGGAAAATCAATTACTACTACCAATCATATCATTCTTTCAGGAATAAATGTATTTCCTTCCCTATAACTATTGGCAATTAAAATAAATTGCTTGTTAATAGATTATTTCATTTTAGAGATTATTAATCTCTAAAATGAATTAAATATTAATCTATTTCATTTTAGAGATTTAGAGATCATTTAATTTAAAATTATGCTTAATTAGCTGAGATTTTCATTGTTTTTAAATACTTGGTTAAGAGGAAATGTAAACAAACTAAGAAACTAAATATCTATAATGTGTCATAATATATTTATTGAAGAGTTTTTAAGCATAATTACTGAAAATGAGGGCATAGTCAGCTTTTAATAAAAAAAGTAAATAAAGATCAAGATGAAGAATAGAATTGTTTCTATTTTGTATAATGCGGGAAATTTTATAATACCCACGAGGATGATAATTGGAACATCTTGATGCACTATATTACTCAGACCTGGGCCCATACTTTCAAAATAAGTTAAGAGATGGTAAGTTCATCAGCCAATCATTGACGGCCTTTCAAGCAAAATCCACCAATCATAGACAAGAAAATAGAGCGTAAGTACTTACGTTCACTTAGCGAGTTTTGAAAGTATGGCCCCTGGGCCCATACTTTCAAAAAAGTTAAGAGATCGTAAGTTCATCAGCCAATCATTGACGGCCTTTCAAGCAAAAGCCACCAATCATAGACGAGAAAATAGAGCGTAAGTACTTACGTTCACTTAGCGAATTTTGAAAGTATGGCCCCTGCTGTACTGCGACCCGAGACAGACAATGATTCTCGCGAAGTGCAATCTTAATGCTAGCGTTCATATAAGATTCTAGGTATATCTGATATTCGCTTCAAATTATACATCAACAGAAACAATCTCGTCACTACAGAATGAGAAAACACGGGTATCAAAATGTGAGACTTTTACTTAATATAATCTTCACAAGACATTAATACCAGCTACGTGACGACATATAAGTCAAGATTGAAGAAATTGGGTCGAAGAGACCAAGAAATGCGAAACAAATACTTGCTAAAGATAAGGAATATATAAATGCAGTCGAGAGAGAAGACAAAGCAATTCTCGACTCAATACACCATTCGAATGTAGAAAAATTCCTTTAAATAAAATGTCCAGCACTCCCGTACCCGTTGAACTCTTGAACCTCGGACACTCGATCTTTTCTAGGAACTCGAAGAACCATTTTCTTCCGTATCCGTATCCTTTAATCCGCCAAATCACGTTGTCATAATAGTGACACTTTCTACACGCAGCATTTCCCAAATAAAAATTTAAGGTGGCGTATCGATGATTATCAGTGGCTATAGGTGGAAATTATAGGTGGAGCACCGATGGCGCATCGATGGCGTGTCCGGCCTATGTTCCACCTATCACCTGCCGATGGCCACCCTACCCTAAAAACTCTTCTTCCACAATTATACGCTCTTTCTAAAGGCAAACTAGGTCAGGATGACCAGCACAAGGGCAAAATGTGCGCTTTTTGGACAAGTTTTTCATTTCTGTGACTTTTAAGCATTCCTCGAGAGCGCAGGTTGCAACGATAAGTTCGAAATAACTTGTCTTGCGTAGCAACAACCTTCACTGCCGCGGGAATTTTCGGCTCTCGAATACGATGCAGTATAGTAACGCTGCCCTCTGGTCCCTCGTTTAGAGTGGGGTCTAGAAAATGCAGGGAATGTGAGTAAAAAAATTTCAATTGTATTATGTTAAATTTAAGTTTTGAAAGAGCCATCGCAAGCTTTGAAAGAGCCACTCATTCGTAGCTCGATCTCATTAGAATTTATAGCTGATAAATAAACATAATTACATGCTTGAAAAATAGAGTTTATAAATGTATTCTGAAAACCCTGACAAGAAACATTATTTCAGGGAATTTAAAAACCCATTAATCCAATACACCGAAGCAGCGAAGAACTTCATTAAAGAATAATTATAGTTGCGAGTCATCAACCTGAGGCAGGGGGCAAGAGACTGTATCTTATCAATGAGCTTCAGCTTTGATTGCGCAATTACGTAGATCTTTTGATCTCACCAAGAATTGCACTGAAATGATCCGTGTACTATGTACCTCTAGCAGTATTTTATAAATAGTTGCATACTTTCATTTTTGGTAGAAACAGTAATGACAATCAATGACTTACGAAGCCAGTACGGGTTATTATATTATAGCGTTTAGCACGGTATATCGGGGACTCTTGTTTTATTCAAAAATTAAATCACGATATCACGATTCGACGTTATTTTCAGAAAAGTTATTAGATTTTAATACATTAAATTTCACTAACCAGAAATACCAATGCACCACATTTATACCAGTTACACCAGACACCATTTTCATTTCAAACCGTGAAAAATGCGTTAAATTTTATCACTGAAATCTTTTTGTGTCATAATTAATGAGGAGCTTTTACATATTCGAACAAAAAATTCTAGGCAAATAATTCCAAGGC